CCACTGTCACTTCCTCACTTGTGTATAAATTGGTTTTAATGGGCTTTGTATTGCCAACCCTAATACAAATTCAAAAATCATGATTCAGACCCACAAAATCATGATTTTGTGGATTACAAATCAGGAGATTAAAAATAATGGGTTTTGGTCTGTCTCCTGATATGTATTTTTTCCTTTGAGGAGAAGCAGCCTATCCCAGTTTGTGTGATCACTTCAGGCTGAAAAGTTACAATCAAGAAGGCAGGCTGCCCCCAAACCTCTGGTTTCTCAGAGGAGGACTCCACTTACCATCTCCTAGCATTTAGGGTGGGGAACCTTAAATCCATTCTCATCTATCAGATCACTTTCTTGCCTCCCTTCCCCTCTTCCAGACCCTCCCCTTAGTATTCTGCCCTATCTCCTTCCCGGTTTCCATATAGTCTCTAAATGTTCTTTTATCCCCCAGTCTTCTACCTCTCCCAACCCCCCAAAATATGTAGAGCCCCTGTCCCTGCAGTATTTCTCCCTATGCCTCCAAGTATACCTATTACGCCTCCCCTCTTCCGACTCCTTTTCTGGCCCTCCACACACTCTTGACTGGAGCCACGTATGGTGAAGAGGTAAGTATCTTAAGTGAGGGCAGACTTGTTTCTATCCTCCTAAAAACAATGGGAGATGGTGGCCATTTTTACTGGAGACAACCTCACTTCCATCTGTAAATGTAGCCATCTTGACTGTGAGGGCAGCCTGTGGCTTCAGTCTCACTGAGGAAAAAAATAGTAAGATGGTAGTCATTTCTGCGGAGCAGAGGGGATTATTGTTATGGCATTAGTAAATATATTTTAAAAAAACACCCTAAAATGGTGAAACTGAATAATGCCAAAAGAGTTGGCATCTGTAGGTCTCAGAGTCAGGGGACTCCGTATGTAACAATTGATACCACACACATCACTGAATAATTTACAGAGCTGGTAGGGATTTTTCAAAACTTCAAAGTTAACCCCATTATGTTACTGGTGGCAACTTTCCCATGTCACTCTTTTAATATGCAGATCACTTGACATGGTCTGTTTTGGTTTCTTGCTAGATAATTCTCCCTCCTGATGTTCTTGCAATTGTAACAAGTGTACAACACATCTTTGTCTCCCAGTTTCAGTTATTGCTATGAGATGAGGGGTATCTGTGCATGGGAAGGGAGGTCCCCTTTGCACATGGATCCTAGGAGGGGAAAATGCACCTCATTTCAATAGGCCTTCATCCCACACCATTGAAATTAATGGACTCTGACCAGATCTCTCTACTGTATAAAATGTAGCTTTATCCTATAGCTCCACCTAGTGGCAAGTTGGTTGGTCTATCTAGCAATCCTTTCCCAACATATTTTAAAAAGCACATTTTATTAATTTAATCCTGTTCATGATTGTGATAGCTGAATGGTTCTTTGTTTAAGAAGTCCAAAAGGAGAAAGTGTTGTTGCAATCAAACTTTTTGACTCAATTATAGCTATTTTATAAAATGTTGGTTTGAAGATATGTTTGCATAGTTCTTGGGGGGGGGGGGGGGGGGGGGGGTTCCTCCATAAATTAATCATGTTTGTGGTTTACTGTATTTGATTATATTTGGTGATGATGGGGTTGATGATAGCTTGCTACATTTTATATAATTGTTTAAATAACAAGTCAGCTAGAAATGCTGTTGAATGTACTTAAATAAAGTACCTGAGGCCTGGCCTATGCTACAAAGTTAGGTCTATGTAAGCTACCTTGCGGTAGACTAGTTGTGCAGCTGTCTACACTTAAATTTGCCTCCCACTGATGTAAACTCCCTATTTCAGTGACTCCATAACACCACCTCCCCAAGCAGCGTTGAGCCATGGTTGATGTAGTGAGGGTGATGCTGTGCGTGTGTAGACACTGTCACTTAGGGCCTGGCTACACTTGCAGATGTAGAGCGCTGGGAGTTAAACCAGCCTTTGGAGACCGCAGCAGGGAAAACGCTGCTATGTGTTTACACTCTCAGTTGGAAGCGCACTAGCATGGCCACATTAGCAGCTCTTGCAATGCCACAGAGAGCAGTGCATTGTGGTAGCTATCCAAGCATGCAAGTGGCTGCAACGTGCTTTTCAAATGCGGGGGTTGGGGTGGAGTGTGACAGGGAGTGTGTTGTGTGTATGTGGGGGGGGAGAGAGTGGATTTTTGGGGTGTTGAGAGTGTGTCAGCATGCTGTCTTGTAAGTTCAGACCCCACTCTCCCCTGCCTCCCTCTCACACACTCACAGCAAGCAACATTCCACACTAATGGCTTGCTTTGTCCCGGAGCAGATAAGCATGTCGGCTGTCAGAAACGGAGCTTTGAAAAGGCATATCTGCACTCCTACAGCCAATTCCAAAACAATGACAAGAGTGG